AACCATCTGTAGCGTAGCGCAGGCGTGAGCTTCTCTATGGTTTGCTTGGTGACTTCCGGGTTGTATAAGTAGTAGACCCTCTGTAGAGCTTGCAATGTTGCTATGATGTTGCCTACTCTGGTGGCGAAGATGCAGAGTTCCTTCGGTGAGTCTGTTGGCCGTTGGAGGCTTCGTAGTCGTTCCAGTTCGGCGAGTGCGATTGCGTCGGGTCGGCCGAAACGGGATTCCAACGTCTTCATTATTTCTTCTGTTTTCGCGTTGTACATGAGTAGACTTTCCACGGCTTCTTTGGCTGTTCCTCGTAGGCTTCTGCGTAGTCTTGCGAGGTTTTCATATTCGCTGTGCATGCTGGCTGTTTCTGTGTAGGCGGCTTTGAATGAAAGCCATTCTTGATAAGTTCCGCTGTAGCTCGGTAGCTCTTGTATGGAGCGTGGTGCCATCTGTTGACCGGATCTTGCGGCGAGTGCGATCGCGGATGCGAGCTCCGAGATGTTTATCTGTTGCTGTGTAGGCTTTGCGATGGCCATGGTTTCTTCTCCCGCCGGTATTAGAAGCGGGGCTTGATGCGTAGACTGTTGCTCGACGAAGCTCTGTTGCTGTAGCGTGGCTTCGTGCGGCCTTTCGGCGATTGCGATCTGTGACGTGCTGTGGTTCAACCAGTTTGTGACTCGATGCGTCGTTTCCTGTCGAGCTGTGACTGTGTCTTCATCGGAGTCCGGTTCTGAGTTGCTGTTGGCTTCGTCTTCTAATGCGTTGACTCTGGCGGCGGCGTATTCCATTTGCAGACGGAGTAGCTCTTCTTTTGCCTTCTGCAGCCGTTGCGAACGACGAGATTTGACGCTCTTGCTCTTCTGTACTGTGGGGTGACCTTCGGTAGCCTGTTCTGTCTGTGGTGCTTCGGTCGTTGAAGAGAAGACTGTCTGATCCCAGGTGTTCGTTTCGGTTTCCGTCGCGGCGGTGTTTTTCGTAGCCGTCGTCGCTGTAGCAGTTGGTTGTGAAGCCGGTGTTGTAGCGGTCGGTTGCGGAGCTGTTTCTGTGACGGTCGGTTGCGGAGCTGTTTCCGGCAGCGGAGTGGTGCCAGATCTTGACCGTGTGATGGGCATCTTGAAGCTTCTGTGATATCCGGCAATGCGAAGGACCAAATGTTTCGAACGGCGTCTGTGGCGCTCTTCCCTGTAACCGTTCGAAACGGTGCGGTGGGGTGCGGATGCCTATGGGGCTGGCAGCTTCAATAAAATCCCTTTTCTTAGCTTCAGTGCGCTTGTTGCTTGTTTGCATGTGCAGTGGTGTAAGATGAAAGAGGTCGAGGCTATTTTGGTCACTACCTATGTAGGCCACAAGTGTTCGCACTTAGCGCTATATCGCTGCGCTAGTGCGCCTATCGGAGCAATGTGAGAGGGACAGCCTATAATGCTGTCTCTCTCACGGTGTTATTTCTATTCTCGCTTTGTGCGACGTTATAGCGGCCGTGGGCCTATCCTAGCGCTGTGCGAGAGAGACTGTAGTGCTGTCTCGCACAGCGTTGTGTTACTGAATGTGTGTACCTACCTATCGTGAAATGAATGTTGCGCAACTCTTTTATTAAAATAACAATAAATTTACATTTCACTTATAACTAACTATGACTACTATTTACAACACATAAGATTATTAAACTATTGAGTTAGGGCGGCGTCTGTTCTGTACAGTAAGCCTAGCACGAACCAATATAGAAATCGAATAGTTTCCGAGTGCAAAATGTCATTATCAATTTTGTATGGAAACTTGAACAGCAGCACCAACAATGGACGTAACAAGAACTTAAAATCAGTACACATTTGACAATGATTTTCGGATAACGGACTTTCGAATCGGACTCGGTCACACGCACATCTCGCAAACTATTCGAATTCGATAATGGTTCGTGCTAAGGGTACAGAGCACGTGAAAAGTTTATAAAGTTTGGAGAACAGGGTCTCCAAACTTTATATCCTTTTCATAGTTTACCCGCAGACTATCGATGGAGTGCGGCGTAGCATCAACACAAAGATCACGACTACAGTAAAGTTTGTTGAAAACTAACTTAACTTTGTGTGTAATTTGCTTATTGGAACTCGATCTTTAGCATACTGCAATTTCAATTACAATCCAATTAACCGTACCTACCTATTTACTGAATGCAGGATTTTGTCTGATGATACAGAAGTTCTGTAGCTAAACTTCAACGCTGCTTTTAGCTTTGATCAAGTCTAAGTTGTTAAACCAGACCAAAGCCGAACATGTTGGTATTCGCAATCAAATTAATAGTGACATGCTGGCATCTTACATCTTGCATTAAGTAAGTATTTGCCTTATTAATTCTGTATCTTTATAATTCATGAAACTAATTCGCCGATATTATTAGCCATGGTTTAAAATAAAAAGGTTTGAGTGATGTGAACGCAAATCCAGACGCGAAGATAGTTGGTATGGTGCTGTAGTTTCGCCTGCCACACCAGCCAGCATCACCTTGCCGTTGCTGGCCTGCAACGTTGCTTCTTCATGACTTTTTGTAAGAGGAAGGTAGAGTTAGTGCGACGCAGAAACCAATCACCAAATCTTTTTGTTCGCGTTGGAATAGTGGCCTGCACAGTAAGTCGGTGTAAGTAACTTTTTTTTTACATTTTTTTAAGTAAAGTTTCATATTATACTTTTTTGTAAGTTAAGTAATTTAGTAAATTATATTACATTTTTTTATAATAATGGAATAGTACTGACTGAAAGTAATAAAAAAACAAGAAAATAATAAATATATAGATGTATTGTATAAACAATCTGTGGAAAGAATAACAATATGAGAGACTTATGTATAATATGTTTAATAAAGATAAGTTAATGGTTAATCAATCGAAGTGCAAAATTAGATATTATTAGGAGATAAGATAGAATAGAGGAAATTGTTACATAAATACGTAACATTATTTACGGTAAGAAAAATAAACAGATAAGAGAGCAGAAAATTTATCCTTAAGAAACAATGTATCAGAAATATCGGAATACAGAAGGCTGAAGGAGAAAATATTGTAAATTATATTTTTATTTTTTAAGCATAAAACTGCTAGTTGTTTAAATCTAAAGAAAATACTAGGAAAAAATACTCGTGGACCTGGCAGCAGACGGGACTAGAACCCCCACCCTCCGCAATCCGGGCGCTGACCATTATTTTTTACTATTTTTTGAGTGTGTATGCTATTGGTCGCAGATGACCTTTAAAGCGTCACCGGGTTTGGGGACGGCGAGATCCTAAGGGGACCTCAAGCCGAGAGAATTGGCGAGTGCCTCTAGAGGTATTCCAGGCGGATGGCGCGGCGTCTCCCCACAGGGGGAGTCTCCTCCCCGTCTGGAGCCTCTAGACCACTCGAACCTGAGGGGTTGGCTTAACTACAGGGCGTCTCTGAGCCTCGGACCTCGGCTCTAGTTAGCCGTTGTCGTGGGGGGCGGGGAAAAACGCCCCGGTACGTACCTGATATAGCGTGTCGTGTGTAGACCGGGTCTTCGCACTCTCATCCTACGGGTGCGGTGTCTGCCTAATGCTAAGCTAGTGTGCACGTTTGCGAGCTGTGTAGTGTTGGTGTTTGTGGCCTATGTGGGAGGAATCGGAGGCGTTACTAATTAAATTTTCTGTAAATATTGTAATTTGTAAGTAGGCAGAGGCGAAATGTAAAATAGAAATAAGATGAAGGCTCTTAGAAAAGAAAAATATAACTCTTTGAGTGGACAAAAGAAAAGTACCTAATATTGAGAAAATAAAACCTCTCTCAAAAAGAGTGGAAAAGCAAAAACCCAAATGAAAAGAAACAAAACAAATTATTAAAGTCCTGCTACCTGCTACTGGAGAAATAGATTTAAAACTACGAAAAAACACACTGCGTTACTCTGTCATACTATTAATTTTGAACGCGCTCTAGAGGTCAAATGATCAAATATTAAAGAAGGCTCAATAGTAATGTATTTCATAAGTGTTGTGGTTAGAGGATTCGATGCCGGTCGATTTTTTTAACGGCATTAAAATTTTAAGATTAGGATTTCGGGATTATCTACAGTTAATCCCGGGATTGTATTGGTAATAGAAAGTGGTAACAAAAAGACGTGAAAAACAACTTTTTTTTTAATCTTTTTTAATTTAATTTATTTTATTTTAATTTTAATTAATCTTTAGTAAAATCTTTAAAAAACAAAACAAAATTATATTTTCTTCTGTTAAACAACAAACTTTAAAAAAATAACTTCTAAGACTTGAAATATACTATAAAAAAAGACTATAGGTAGTCCTTTATAATTTTGACCCGTTGAGGAAGATGCCTTAGCAGAATCTACTTCCACGGAATGTTTTGAAGATAAATGAGTATATAGGCCTTTGGTTGATCCTCCTAAGGTCTTTAAAATAGCTAAGCAACGCTTACATTGTGCTGAGCTACCCGCTTTATCAACTAAAAAATGACACCACACTGACGAAACATCTTCATCTTTTTTATGCTTGACATCAAAACTTTCTTTGGATAGTGACATTGTTTACTTCTTAAACCTAAACAAGAATGAAAAGAACCTTTAAGTATATGCTCAAAATAAACATAACCTCTTAGAGCTACAGAAAATAACACTCATTGTTTGTCATCTATATTTAATCAGACATATTAATTCATTGGTTGTTTTTTAATAAATTCATTGAATATCACTAATTAACAAAAAAAAATATCAATACTTACACGACGTGAAGAGGATTTTTTACACAGTTTTACACATAATCCGGTACCGGTCGTTCGCAAAAATAAAAAAAGACAGCTGTGTAAAAGCAGATCTATAACGCAACGCCTTAAGAGTTGCAATCTGATTAACGATTAACGTTAACTTGCGTTAAATCTTCCGAAATTTAACGTTTTAACGATTAACGAAGTTATTTTTTTTTAGTAACGGATTAACGATTAACGAAGTTAACTATTTGATTAAAGGTGCCCAGCTATGTGTATAGTTGCGATAGTTACATGAGCTTTCTGCAGTTGGACTCTTGTCTTCCCAACGCATCTTGCATTGTGCGGCGTCCATGAAACAATGGTTCTTGAACATCAGGGACGGCTCCAGAGCAATCACACCCGGCTGCCCGCACACTGGTGCATATGTGTTCGGACATTTCTGGTAGAAATTGTATGCAAGAGATAATCAATCGACGATCGATAGTAAAACGTATCATTTTACGTAATATAAGCTTTGAGGAATAATCCACTTGGGTTGGTTATGTTAAACCTATTTTAGGTAAATATATATATATATATATTAATAAGTAACTTTATAGAATCCAAAGAAAAGTTTATTAGAAAAAAAATCCACGCAGACCAGGCAGCAGACGGGACTCAAACCCGCATCCTTCGCTATTCGGGCCAATGCACTGACCATTATGCTACCGCGGCCCTGACGGCCGCGTCGAATTTTTCTCCAGCCTTAGGCTGCAAGGCAGCGCCATCTCTTCGCATTGTAGGTGGCCCACAATTGTCGAGACCCGTCTGCTGCCTGGTCCGCATGGATTTTTTTTAGTAAACTTTTCTTTAGATTTAAACATCTAGCATTTAATCATAACTTCATAGACTAACTAAGACATAACTTTTGGACATGTAAAATAGGTACCTTACCTACTTATATTAAATTTAGTTATAGGTGTACTAATTAAGTTAAAATAAATATAAAAATACCTTTATTTTCAATAGGTAAGTACATTTTTATCGACTACAGACTATAACTTCAAACATAAATTAGGCAATATAACAAATTTTTTTTGGTCAATTCTCTGTTCGCTTTCAAGTTAATAATAGTAAAAAAACTATGAAAATTAACCTTCTAATTGCCGCTCTTAAGTATGTCAGTAAATTTTTTAACTTTTTTTAGGTGGTGCACTTTCTTCCTTCTTATACTAGAGTCTGTGCAGAAAGAGAATGGGCGTGGCGAAAAACGAAACTTACATTAAGATTTTTATTTACTCGTAGCAATCAAACCCAGCAACCTGTAAAACGTCAAAGTTTTGTATTGTTACGGATTTGTTTGTTGTTGTGATTTCTTGCGGTTTTTTGTATTTAATCATGTCTAAAAGGGGTAAAACCTTACAAACGCGGTAGAAAAGCATTACAGCGCCCTCCAATCTAAATCCCATTCTCTTTCCGCACAGACTCTACCGACACTACTTTGCGTTAACAATAGAACAAGACAACACGTCAATTTGCCAGCTCAGATAGGTCTATAATTCTTAATCATAATGAGTGCGGCGGCAGTTAGAATGAATTTCTCCCTAAGGTGTGAAAAAGGTAGTGGCCTACCTTTGGACATCTATGGAAGCATGACCCCAAAGTTGGTTCGTGCATACGGTCTTCTGTAATATTCTTCGGTATAATAGTCCAAGGCTTGAATATCACCTGTGGCCCAAACACATTTAGCAGCATGCGTCTAGCAGTCTCATTCACGTGTTTGTTCAGTTCATCAACGGGCAAATTAAAAATATGAGTAGCCGCAAAAAAATTATCAATCGTATCATTTACGTTATTGTTGAAATTGTACATGTTTGCGTCAACTATGAATAGGTTAGGAATCTTCCGTTCACGACTCCCCGTCGTTTTCAAATATGGCGCCTCAGTAATATTAACACCGTCACATAACACAAATTCGGTCTGTGTGAAATTTAATGCGTTGACGCAATTGTATTTGATAAGATGACATTTGTTGGAGAACAAACGCACTCTGAATCCGTCCCCTTCTTGTCTCATAGCACAAATTCTTTTCGCATCGCTTGGATAAGAACAATCGAAGTCCACGCATTCGGTGACTTTCAACGCTTCTTCTTTAGGAATTGGTAAGTTGTCGAGCAAGTGTGATCGTTCACAATATTCCAAGTTTATTATTCCGTAAGCTAGAAATTGTTCACAAAATCATAAATTTTAGTTAATTAAATCTTGTACGCTGCAGCGAATTTCTCGATCTCTAGTCAAGGTTTCTTAGTCCAGCAAGATTCAGTTCGCAGGACTGCATTAGAATAATCAATTACCTACTCTGTTAATTTAAACGAGACTGCATAATGAATATCAAACAAACTATTTTCATTGTTTAAAACTGATTATCCCGATAGGTAATTATTTTATATCTATGATTAATACTCTAGTACCTTTACACCCAGTACCTATACGTTATTAGCATAGCAACATTAAATAATCATTAGACAATATTCTTACATAATTTTATATTTACAGTAATTCTTTACTAGTGATAGAATGTGTTATGAAATTCAGAAACTCCCAAACACGAAACAATAAATAAAAGTTATTTTTCCATATTGGTCGGATATCTGATCCTATCTGAGGGCAGGTACATAATACAATGAAAACAAGTATATAAATTGCTGGACAAGGAAATGCGAAATATTTAAAGATAAAACAATTCGATAATTGCTTTGCACTCTATTAAACCATACAAGAAATCGCGAGATTATTGTAGATATTATTACAAATAAGATAACTATCGAACTGATACGTATACTGATTACGTGCTTAAATACCATGACTTATAGTGATAAATTATCGTGATTTAATGCTCCATTTAGCACTAATTGGCAGTACCTAGTTAAGAAGCACTGAAAGCAATAAGTATCAGATTATTAGCTTTACTAGTTTACATTTGCTTAAGTAATCCTCATAAGTCATTAACAATCAACTCACAGTGCCCATGGAAGGTTATAACGTTTTCTTTAGATAAGAATAAAATTCAGAAAATATCGATTAACCATCTTTTTGAGGGAAGGAATGAACAAATTGAGATCTATAAAATTATTAATATTTTACAGATCTCATATGAGATCTGTTGAAATTCGGTATCTAATACCTAGTTCGAGTTTACTGGGAAAGGAAAAAGGATAGTGCGTCTTGCGCTCAGAGCCACTTACGGTTTGCTTAATATCTTAAGGTTTTATCAGACCAATCGATCGATCGTCGATCGACTGCATCGGTAACCGTCGATCGGAGCTGATTGACTGGTCTGGTAGCTTTAATAGATGTACGATCGACGAAGACCTTTCGACTAACATGGCCATGGCTAATCAAGCAGCTCGATCGACGTTGACTAATTAATTCTACCATCGATCGGTAGTCGTTCTACAATCGATTGATCTGGTAGAAACCTTCAATAGTCGTCGACTAATCCTTTCTACCATCGATCGATGCCGTCGATCTACGATCGAACAATTCGTCTAGTAAGTGGTAACAGTTTAAGCTTAGTACAGATATCTACTAACCTTCTTCATCTTCGGCATCGCAACCATATTTTAATAATTCACATTCGCTATCAAAGATTCTCAATTTTACACCGTTACCTTGTACTTTTATACCACAAACTCGGTTCTGGCTATTGTTGCAGAAAAGATATTCGCAAAATTTTCTTTTCAACTTATTTTCTGCATCACATGTCATGATCAAATGCAACAGAATAAAAATAAATAAACGCTGTGAATTAAGCATTATGAGAACAAGAAGTGCGATACTCTAGGTACTGACCTTGTGATTATGTAGGTAATTTTAAAGTCATAAAATAAGTCAATCAATTAAGTAATTATACCTACTGATTTGCCCCCTATAATCGTAGGATAAAAACGTAATCCAATGTTAATACGTAACTACTGCGATATGATAAAGTAGGCAAAAACGCACATTGAATTATACCTATAAATAGACCACCAAGCAATTCCAAACAAATATCTCGTTCTGTGCTGGGAGAGAAAGAAAACTTAAAATGCGTTACTTGTTTATCTTCCAATGCAGATTTTTGGTTTAGTTTTTTATACAAAAACAAATTACCCCACCCCACCATTTAGTTAAATGTAAGTGGAATAGAGTTGCGAAGATAGAATATGCGGCAGAAAGTGTGCCGGAGCGGCCATCCTCGCCTGAATCCCCTACCCCGCGGAGCCCTGGAACCATACTCTGGCAGGCATTTTGTGCTATACCATTCGGCGTTGATGCTGCTTTGGTCTCGAAGTGGAATTGAAATTAGGTACCCCGTCAAAATGAAAACTAGCGATTAAAATTCTCCCTGCGCTCCTCGATCGCTTCACTTTCGTAGGCGTTGGTTCATTTTGAAACAGCCACACTGTCGACTGACGCTTTGTTTCTGGATCGTATTGATAAATCCAGGATTCGTCAACCGTCACAATATCGTAAACGCGCCGTGACGATCCTGCATCAAATTTTTGTATCATATCACTGCACAAATCCACACGGGCCTGCTTCTGAGCTTCGGTGAGGTTGTGCGGCACCCAGCGGGAAACTATCCTCCTTACGCAAAGGTGCTCGTGCAAAATCTTGTGAACTAATCTGCAAAGTATGCTGAATCTCTTCGTACGTAATTTCGTATGTTTTCTTGAATTAAATTGTTTACTGCCAGCACACTTAGTTCGGTGACAGCTGTCGTAGGCCGACCACTCCTTTCTTCATCCCCCAAAGTGAATCGGGCGTATTTGAACTCGCTACACCAGTGGCAGATGGTTGTTTTTGAAGGTCCTTCATCCATAAAAGCAGTTCGAAATAGATCAAATGATCGATTAAAAATCGTAAAAAATCATAGCATGAAAATGTTCTCGATGCAGATCCATTTTTTAATGAGACAAGATAAAGGACATTGGGCAAAAACGTATGGACCCTGCACCCACGTCCGCCACGGCTTAAACTACATTTGTTTGAAAGGTATTATAGTCATGATCATCTGTACCAAAGCGCATGAAATTCCATCCCGGGGGTCTTTAGTTATGTTGAGTTAAATAGGTACAAGTACTATAACGATTGAACATTAATGAAACAAGGAAATTAATTAAGTAAGTTAGTTTGACCCTATAAAGGGGGCTCAGGTATTATGGAAGTACTTCTCAAGGTGCAAGGGTGCCCCCTTATGTTATTCTGCCGCGCTAGAGTAAATCCAAAAATCCACCCATGGGTTGGGGTTTTTTCAAACATTATGTTCGTTAAAGTAAATTTGCTTCTACGTAAAACGGAGCGACCACAAATCACATAAACTTGTCCACGTTTCGGAGAAAACATAATTCCAGTTCATCCATACTAATTGACAAAACCGATTATCGTGTTCCAAAGTCCAGAGTGTGATAGATAAAATCAATCAAGTGACAGGGAGTGCACAATCACAACGAAGGAAGACGAGTCGACTGTTTGCAACTGCAAGTCCTTCAACCCCCGTAAGCCGTTTCGATGGTCGGCAGGCTTTGTTGTATATTATGTTGTATAGTACGATATGGCATATTATTATGGTTACTAATAATATAAAATGAAGGTACTATAAAATGAATTTATTTAGCTACTTATATATGCCCATTGTCATATCTTTTGACTACCAAGATATTTTTTACGGTGTCATATCTTTTGACTATCGAGATATTTTTTTGCGGTGTCATAATGAAAAAGGCTAGTTTTTATAGATCTATCGATTCATACTAATTACATTGTTGGCGGAGCTGGGGGCCAATCGCCTAACTGGATTGCTTTGGAAAACGCTATCGCTTACGATTTCATTTTGTTATTTCTAACCGCCGAAATACCTCATGCTCATTTTCTTTAACATTGTTATTACCAATGCAAAAGAAAAAAAAAGAGCGCGAGGCATTTGAAAACCTCAGGGGGCTAGAAATAACAAAATGAAATCGTAAGCGATAGCGTTTTCCAAAGCAATCCAGTTAGGCGATTGGTCCCCTGGGTGTGTTTTGCCAATTGTCCTTTAGTAGGCTCTCGAAACAATGCGTAGGGAAATTTGAAAATCGAACAGTGGTATTTTTACTTTTAAATAATCGAAGTTTTCAAAATATAATTACAAGTGGCCAGTGTCATAAATAAAATCTTTTTTTGCAAAACTTTCTCAGTGGCCTGGTACTGTTTCTATGTAATCACTTTTACACAGAAAAGAAATAATGGTGTCGATTCTGGCGTGATTCTCTAAACTTAAACTAAATTTAACATCAGCCTCTCTTTTTCATTCTGTAAGAGAATGACAAGGAAACACTGCTGTCAAATTTAAGTTTAGATTTAGAGAATCGTGCCAGAATCGACACTATTACCTACTTTATAGAATATCAATCTTCGAACTTGTTGACAAAAACAATCGACTCGCCAGTACAAATTTTATATTTTAAAAAATCTATATTAAATAATTTATTAAAAAATCTTAAGTTTCATCTATGACGATTTTGTGTTGCAACTTTTCATGTGTGAGTGTCGTGATTACAATTTAGTGTTTTGCGAAAGTATAGACTGTATCTGTGTGCATATTCCTCACCCCGCAAAAAGTGGCAGAATAATTTCAGTAGTATTGTGTCACTAGGGCTCTTAGAACATATGGCTACTACCTCCTGGTCACGTCGACCGCGTTGCTCTATGCTATTCTACCTCCATTACGTGTTTGCAGGCTGGGCGGTCTAGAAACTGATCATCGTCATCAACAGCCTATTAGTGTTCCCACTGCTGAGGTACAGGCCTTCCCTACGTATGGTATAGGCAGATTGGGCCATGAACCACTACACGGGCAAAGTGGGGATTGGTGGGTACTAACAACTGCAGATGCAATCGGAGCCAACGTCTGAACGTGCCGTTTACATTTTTAACCACCCATTTAATGGCCGACCGCTGCGAAATTTGCTTAACCTCCACGATCGCAGACACAACGCGCTAACCATCTGCGCCAAGCTTCTAGCAACTACAGCGGTCGAAATATTTCTCGTAAGAACCAGCCTCATCTTGTTAGCCCAAATTCTATTCTATTTAAATATAGTGTAGTTTTTTTTTTTTTTTTTTTTATAGATAGGTCCGACAAATGACTCCACTTCACCTGATGTTGAGTGAAGGTGAAGTCCAGACGTGACGATAGCTGATACAGCAGTTTTACCTGCCACACCAGCCATCCTCACCCTGCCGGCCTGCATGTTGCTTCTTCACGCCTCTTTTAAAGGATCCCAGGTTGTAAGAGGGAGGGAAAACGTGAGCGGGCAGAGCATTCCATTTACGGATAGTGCGACAAAGAAATGAGTCACCAAATTTCTTTGTACGCGTTGGAATTGTGGCCACAGTTAGACGATCACAACGTAGGCCAGCGCGCGTGGTCCTCTGAAGGAAAGGAGAAGGTGGGATAAGAGAGAATAACTCCTCAGAACACTCGCCATGGTACAGACGATAGAACGCGCTTAGTGACGCCACGTCACGGCGTAATTGAAGAGGCTCAAGGTGTTTAGTCACCTCCTCACGGGCTGGCAGACCGTATGCCGGAAGCTTGGAGAGAAGGCTTTTGTGCCAGACCCTGTCAAACGCCTTGGCAATGTCAAGGCTGATAACCAACGACTCGCCACGCTTGTCGATAGCCTCACCCCAGATATGAGTTAAGTACGCTAGAAGATCACCCGTCGATCGTTTCGGTCTAAAACCATATTGACGATCATTAATCAAGGAGTGATCCTCTAGGTAGCGGGTCAGATGGTTATTAAGGACCTTTTCTAAAACTTTACATAAAACTGAGGTGACTGCTATTGGCCGGTAGTTTGCCGGGTCTGAGCGATCCCCTTTTTTGCGCACCGGTTGCACATTGGCATCTCTCCAAGTCTCCGGCACACGCCCCAAAGAATACGAGCATTGGTACAAGCGCGTGAGCACGGGAGACAACTCCGCTGCACATTTTTTGAGTACTACTGCTGGGATGCCATCAGGTCCACTAGCTTTCCGGACGTCGAGTGATTGCAATTCGGCACGAACCTCGCGCTGCTTGATTTTAATATCAGGCATCGTTGTGCCACAGTGAGGTAATGATGGTGGCAGTGCATTGCAATCATCGATTCGGGAGTTAGCCGCAAAGAGTTTTGCCAGTAAATCGGCTTTCTCCTGCGGCTTATGGGCTAGTGTTCCGTCTGGGCATCTCAGAGGTGGCAGCGAGGGCTCGCAGAAGTTTTTTTGCACGGCCTTGGCCAGACGCCAGTAGCTACGGGAGCCCGTAGGATGCGTCATAAGTTCCTGGCCAACACGTGCAGCGCGCTGGGCATCCGCTCTAATGTAAGCCTTCTTACAGGCCTTGGAAGCAAAATTGTAGGCTGCTTTGAGTAAATCGACCTCGGGATCCTTGAGAGCGCGCCCTCTGATCCAAGCACGATATGCCGCTTGCTTACGCGAAGCAGCTTCAGCACAATCGTGATTGAACCAGAGGTTACGCGTGCCCTTACTGATGAGATCAGAATGAGGAATATAGTATTCCATACCCATTATAATCTCCTCAGTAATGGCAACGGCACTGGCCGATAGGTCCCTGTCACTGAAGCAGCGCTGCTTCCAGGGGACGGACGCAAAGTAGTCACGCATACCGTCCCAATCTGCCGACCCATAATGCCAGATACGGCGCTTGACCACTGCTGGACACGGAGGCTTGGCCTGTGGTG